CGTGCGTGGCAGAGATGCAAGGGATTAGCCGATATGGTCTGGGGGCCGGCTGGTCTCTCCCCTGATGCTTCGGCTAGAACATTTTCTTGCGTAATTCGTACATCCAAGGGCAGAAGGATTTAATCGCCGTCAGGTCCGAAGTCCATACGACGCCTCAGCTCTGCGGATGTCTCGGGGGTATGGCAAAGTAGAATCGATTTTTTTAATTTTCTTTTGGTGGTTTCGAGTCTCATCTCACTTACATAAGATTTTTCTTTTCTTTTTTAATCCATTTCTTATTAGATTTAAATCTTCAATTTAAGGCAATCTTTTTAATGAAAAAAAGAAAAAAAAAAAGAGAAAAGATTCCTTCATAGTCGGTTGCTTATAAGCCTAGTTCAGAAGTTCGATCAGAAGTTATCAGTCATATAAGCAATATCGATCCGCGAAAAGTAGAGCTATGCTTTCCTATTTTTCCTGTTAAAGCTTGCTGACAAGAACATTTACTGCACTTGGATATCTATATCATATGCCCGCAAAGGACTAGCGGTTGGTGCCTTGAAGACTTCCGGGTACTATTGCGCAATTTCTGCTTTTTCTGACAAGGAAACTAAACAGCCATCACAGTAAATAATAAGAATAACAAAGGATGGTAAAAAGATCATAAGAAAATTAATTGGTGATTCTGACTGAGAATTTTGAACTTTGAGAGAGTGGAATATCTTCAGTTGTTGCGTCATGGCGCAAGATCAATGGTCACAAGTAGTGGACATATGCATAACTCAAAACTGTTTATTTTATAGCCTACAAAAGGGAAGAACCTGCAAATACTTTAATATTATGTAGAGAACACCTTAAGGGAGAAGATCGTCTTAGACGAGTTAAACGAAATCATTCTTTTCTGTGAAACATCCCATTATGTTTTGATTAACATCGCAAACTTCTTCAGCTGTACTAGGCCTCTGTGCATGATACAGGCAACCCATTGAACACCTATTGGGCGTCTTGTTACAGTTAACTCAAGGACATTTGCCCAAAAATTAGTTAATTGACAATTGGCAATCCCCATTGGCACCCTCTTATAATCTAGTTCGAAGAACTGATTTATTTTGTGTACCCGATGACAGTGTCGTGAAAAGGTCCAAGTTTTCGCTCATACTATCACGCGTTTGAGTCCCCCACCAGCTCTCCCCGGCCCCTCTCAAAAATCCTTGGATCGATCCGCTTTTATATAGCACACATCATTCACCGAGTCCATTAGATTGATATGCAACAATCCTTTCCTGAATATCTTTTTATTATTTTCAATAAAATTTACTCCACTCATAGTACTAAGCTTTTGTGATAATTCTAAACATAATAAGACTATTAACTGCTTCTTTTAATTTTAAACTATGAAAACGTTGCACAAAGAAACTATTGCAATTGCCAAAGTGAGATTATTTAATGCATGAAATAGAGTGCAAACAATAATTACTAAATTGTTCAAAATAGTTCTACTTAAACAAAAGAAAACAATAGAATTAGCATAGAATAGTGTTAGTTAGTATTACTAATATTTCACGGATATATTGTCTGCATTCTAACGCCTTTTATTAGTCACTCCCAATCTCTAGATGTTGTGTATTTTACGTATTACTAGCTTTTTCTTTAAGTTTTGGTTTAAGATTATCTCCTACGCAGCTGCTATTAGTGTCGTTACGCAACTCTCACTGTCGTGTGACGAGCCAGGCTTAGGGACGCAGGTACGAACACACGGTGCAACAATGCACGCAACAGGAGTGTTGCAGTGTGTGTCTACCCCTGAATCTCGTTGCATGCAGCATTGCATGCAACAAACCCGAAGTTGAATCGCGCTCTACTCTTGCAAAATTGCGCGCAACATTTTGAAAATTCCAGCCAAATTTCTTAGCATAGCAACGTTGCGTGATTTTGTTGCAACGTGTCACCCCGATTCAAATTTTTTGTTGTTGCAAAATGTTGAGGTTACCAAGCCTTCAGAATCAATGACAGTATTTTAGAACCAACGCACGTTTTTGACGAGGCGGTCATTTTGAATATCTTACCGCGTAAAGGTCATATAATGCAATATAGCTTGCGTCTTTGATCGTAGCCTGCAAAGCAGGCGTTCTTGTGGGTTTGGGGAAAAACTGGGGTTTTAGGGGAACTTTGGAACGAGCAAGAATTGAAACCGATCCACGAAAAAAGAAGCCACGTTCCCTTTTTTTGCTAGGTCCCATTTTTCTCGCGTGCCCTCGGTCGAAACAGGAACCCCAAAACCCCGATTCTTCCTCTCAAATCCATCAAAAGAACGCCTGCTCTGCAGGCTACTTTGTTTGCAAAGAAATGAATGGTTGGAAAGCGCACGGCACCAGCTTCAAAATGGATTCCAAAATGGAACGACGTTTCCAACGTGGTCTGCATTTCGCAAGTAAATTAGAACTTATACTCTTAGTTCATTGATGTAACAAATGCTTTAAGCCATACATGCGACCAAAGATCACTAAATGGTTGCGCTTTTGCTGGTTTTCAATCATTCCCATGAGAATGAAATAACAAAAGACACGGCAGCCATGTTGGATGATATAACAAAAGAGACTAATGACGAATCTTTTGTTAAATTCATCCAACATGGCGGCTGTGAAAACCATCCATATCGTCAAACGACCAGTCCCATAAGATTTTCTTTTTTTACTTACATTCTTAAAAGGGTTGATGAAAATGTCATTTTTTTCTTCCCTTATCATACATTCATTAACTCCTAAAGGTTATCTTTCACTTTTATAAAAAAAATGGCTCTCTCTCTGCTCGTAATCATGCATGTAATTAGAGGAACTTAAAACAACTGCTGTCCGTCAATACCCCAGCTGTAATTAAGCCTTTTGAATTTGTGTGTTATAGTAATATTTCTTTAGTCAAGTAGTTCTAGATAAGTAACTGGAACTCTTCCACGTTGTCGGCCCCGTTCTCCCATCATCCAGTCATTATCCATCCCAGGAAGGGTGTAAACTGTCAGTATCTGGGAGAAAAATAAAAGTAAATAAATAAGTTTAACAATGAATTCCCCTAAAGCTCCAATTTTTAGTTTAAAGTGCAGCTAACCCCTGATACAAAACGTTCAGTATTGATTCTACATAATGTGAATAGTTGAATGGTGAAATATGTTTTCATTTGAATGTTGCGTCTTTAAGTCATGAAGGTTTATATTTCCATTACGTTGCTGAATGTAACGTTACCCCAGGCTTTTGAGTGTATATTTGTCTTAAATTTAATACTAAAACACTAGCCATTACGAGACATAAGATTTACAATACACATTGTGGAAACCTTGCGTATAATGATGATGCTTTTTAAATACTGTTTGTGCGATCCAGTTAAAATTTGTATATTCAATGAAGCCTGGGATGACGTCACATTCAGTAACATATTGGAAGTATATGTAACGATGTGGTGATAAATGGCAGTTGTGGCAGTTTCCGTTCAAATCTCTTTCTTCTAATTTGCTTTTCTCCTTATTTTTTCCCTTTTCTTTTTTCTTTTTTTTCTTCACAACATAGAAAATTTGTTGCGCGAAGTGGTGATACAATCAGTTTTAGGATTTTGTCGTCTTCAATAGTTTAACACACGAGTATAATGACAGTTTACGCGATTATGAATGAATTACGTACCTCATCAGACAGAAGAGACAACTCACTGTCATCAGCAGCATCATAATCATATAACACCTTAGCCTTTTTAGTCTGCGCGGGTCTAGTGAATCCAGCCGGGTCTGGTCCCGCAGCGACTTCAGCAGCTGACGGAGCACTTGCCGCAGGGGTAGGGGGTAGTATATCCCCGGGAGGGGTACCCAGCTGACGGTGAAGTTCTTGCATGTAGTTGTGGCACTGCGCGTAGTACTGTGCTTGAGCTTCGACAAAACTCAGGAGCGCACGGTGGTGGTTGGCCTAAATGAAAAAGTACAAGATCAGTGAGTAGGACGTTAACAGCGTTTGATTTAGAAGCACGGGTGGCGTGTCGTTCTCCGCCTTCCCACCAATGCAACAACAGTTCGATTCCCGGGCTCGCTGTCATGTGTGATTAGAATTGATTTTTGGTTCTCTCCGGTTTTCCTTCCCCCGCAAAAATCAACTACTAAATTCCAATTTGATCTGGTGAAATCACTGCCTGCATAATTTATAATGTGAAATACATTACATTATTACAAAATTACATTTACTCTTGAGCTCATGAGCGTGCGCGTTCGAATCGTCGACCACCTTTGACAGAAGTCCCCCTCCCCTCCCCCCCAGAAAAAATCACTTAAAAACATATTTCAGTTCTTACATGAGCTGTGTTAATTCCATCAAGCAAAAGCTTAGTTACTTCATACTGTCGATCAAATTCAGCTTGTGCGACTCTGAGTTCTTGCTCGGCCTGTGAATAAATGAAAAACATTCCAATGAAGAAGAACCATCTCCTAGGAAACGCTGCAAATAACCTAAGCTAAAACAGACCTCTTTATCTTGGGCGTAATGTTTTCCCATTTCAGACCGTGTTATTCCCTAGAGTGTCAATTCTTTGTTTAAAGGCTGTGCGAGAAATATGATATAGAAAAAAAGAAGAAGAAAAAAAAAAAAAAAAAAAAAAAAAAAAAAAAAA